TGCGAGGAATGATTTTAAAGGAGTGTCTGAATGACAGATGAATTGTTTAAGAAAAAATTTTGGAAGTGCCTTTTAGTATTCTACATAGACTCTGAGCTTGGTTTCAAAGAGCTGCCATGAAGAAGCTTTGTTACAATTGAATAGTTCTAAAATGAATCCTTTCAGGGGTCCTGGCAGAGTAAATTAGTACCCAGGTAATTTTTTATAGATAACGTAATTTTGTAGAGTAAAAGGCACCTATCTTAATGCAGTTTGATGAACTTTAACAGATGTATACAAATGTCCATCATGTCCCAGTCAAGATTTAGAACATTTCCATCATCCTAAAAAAAATAACCTGGTGCCATTTTCTAGTTAATGTTAATCTCTCCTGCCACTGTGTTCTCACACTAACCCCTTCTGCTGGAGGCAGCCACTGTTCTGATTTCTCTTGCCAAGGGTTAGTTTGGACTGCTTTTAAACTTCATATAAATGGACTCAGACAGTAAGTAACTCTTTTATGTAAGGCTTCTTTCATTTAAACATCAGAATGTTTTTGAACTTCATCAGGTTGCTGTCTGTAGCAGTAGTTTATTCCTTTTTGTTACTGAGTAGTATTCCATTGTATGAGTATACCACAGTTTGTTTATACATTCTCCTCTTGATGGACATCTGATCAAATTGTGCCTATTATTGATAAAGCTCCTATGAACATTCTTGTACAAGTGTTTTTGTGAACATACATTTTTATTTCTCTTGGAAAATACCGAAAGTGGAATTGCTGATAAGAGAATAACTTATCAAGTTATTCTTGATAGCAGAATAACTTGATAAGAGACTTAATAGTTGTCCAAAGTGGTTGTACCATTTTATGGTCCCAGCAGCAGTGCACAAGGGCTCCACTTGCTCTGTATCTTTGCCATCATTTAGTGTCGTCAGTCTTTAATCTGAGCCATTCTAGTGGGTGTAAGGAGGTATCTTGTAGTTTAGATTTGCATTTTCCTGGTGAGTAAAGATGCTGAGCATCTTTTCATGGGCGTATTGGACATTCATATATCTTTGGTGAAGTATCTATTCAATGTTTTACCCATTTTTTGTTGTGTGGGTTTTTTGTTTGTTTTTGCTTCTTACTGAGTTGTGGAAGTTCTTTATATTTCACAAGCCCTTTATCAGTATCTTAGGTCAGGTTCCCCAGAAAACAGACTCTGAGAAGGAGATTTGCACGCAGGAAGTTTATTGGGGAGTGCTCTTGGGAATAACACCTGGGAAAGAATGTGTAGAATTAAGCAGATGGAGAAGTTGAACTGTAATTTGGTACAGTAGAGGCCTCAGCTCACCTGGCTCTGAAGCTGGATGGCTCTTCAGAGATATCCAGAATTGAGGCGAGAGGACCTGGCTTTGTACCTCCTTCCAGACAACCCAGGGGACTAGTCATGGGATGTGAACTGCCCTGCGAGAGGGAAGATAGCCTTAGGTTAGTCAGTGTCCTTTGGCCCAAAGTCAGGTCCTCAGAGAGACTCAGCTGTGAGCCATCAGTAGGCAACACTCCCAGCAGCTAGCGGAACAGGTTTCTCCAACCTGGAGGAGATGGACATGGGCAGTGTTACCAGCATCCACTACAGATATATGTGTTGTGGATATTTTCTTCCAGTATGTAGCTTGTCCGTTTTCTTAGTGGATCAGCAAATGTTTTAAATTCTTTTTTTTTCCTAAAGATTCCATTTATTTATTTGCCAGAGAGAGAGAGAGAGGGAGCGTACAAGCAGGGGGAGTGGCAGACAGAGGGAGAAGCAGGCTCCCCACTAAGCAAGGAGCCCAATGTGGGACTCGATCCCAGGACCCTGAGATCATGACCCGAGCTGAAGGCAGACGCCTAACCATCTGAGCCACCCAGGTGCCCCTGTTTTACAGTTTTTTTTATTATGTTATGTTAATCACCATACATTACATCATTAGTTTTTGATGTAGTGTTCCATGATTCATTGTTTGCGTATAACACCCAGTGCTCCATGCAGAACGTGCCCTCTTTAATACCCATCCCCAGGCTAACCCATCGCCCCCCCCCCCAGGACCCTCAGTTTGTTTCTCAGAGTCCGTCATCTCTCATGGTTCGTCTCAGGCGCCCCTGTTTTAAATTCTTTTTGTGTGCATGTCCTTGCTAAGAAATTTTGCCAACATCAAGATTGCAAAAATATTCTTCCTTCTAGAAGTTTTTGAGTTCTAGATTTTATATTAAAGTATAATCCATCAAGGATTAATTTATGTGTATGATGTGAGCTGCCACCCCAGTAATTCTTGAGGGTGCTCAGCTCTTTCTCTTTTAAGTGCATCCCTTTCGTCACTTCTCACCTTTCCCGAGTCTGCAGTGCGGAGGCATCTTTCCTTTCCATTTGCCAGAGTAGAGCATAGTCATAGTCGAAACGCTGACAGGACGGATTTCTTCCCTAGCGGTTTATTCATCAGCTCGAGCTTTGGGGTTCTGAAACCAGGCCCCTGCAGTGAAACGGTACGCTCAGTCCAGGTCAGTTTACCACCATTGTTGTCCTTCCTCAGTAGTAAAACTGCATTCATGAATTTTTTTAAATCACAAATTTTTTTAAAACTCTATGAATTCATTAGAGAAAATGAGAAGACGAAGTCATATACCATGTTCCCTTCTACACGGAATAGAGTTGTTTTTCCATCTCGTGTTCTCCATGCTCTGACAGTTGATCTCAAATGAAGGCCGTGATTAATGGCGCTTTGACGAGTTTGGTAATTTGTAAACGACAAAAGCTCTTAGAATAGCTCAGGATTAAATATTAAAATAGTAACACCAAAAAAATTAAAATAAAATAGTAACACCAGTTGTTTGGTGTCATTTTTCCAAAATGCTTCAATCACTTTCTCTTGTTGCCTCCTATATAAGACATGTAAAATATTTATTTTACAGAAGAAAAGCTAAAGTACTGAATTATTAACCAGTTTGGACATGGAGCCAGTTCTACCTCCCAAGCCAGTGCCCCCAACTGCTGGATGCAGTCAGAATGCTCTATTTATAAGTAGCTAATAATGGCCATCCTGAATCTATGAAGGACTGACCCGGCCTGTGTGCTAGGGAGTGGGGGCTTCTCCTCTTGCTGTATGGCAAGTATTAGTTGGTGCTGGCTTTGCAACTGTAGATTCTCCATTTTCACTAGAGACACGATAAGATATAGATTCCTTTCTTCCTCTCAGACGAGGGGATGGTAATGCTTCAACCAGCCTGTCAGCTAAGAACCCACTTTCCTGTAGAGACAGTATATATGTATGTATGTATGTGTATATTATATATTTATTCCCCTAGCCTCAGAGTCACAAGTGCAGTAGTATGTCAGAGATAATACAGCCACTGTTATTTTTGCTGACCTCATAAAGGAAAGTAAAACAGAAAAGTGAAGTACGTGACACTCCATTAATTAGTGAAACTTTTTCTTAAGTAAGGTACATAATTTCCTCCTTTTAGTTTTTAAGGTCATTTTTCATACTGCTAAGACTCCAGGAAGCCATATAGGGTACACCACTGCTTCAAGAAATTTTGAAATGGGGGTGCCTGGGTGGCTCAGTTGTTAAGCGTTTGCCTTCGGCTCAGGTCATGATCCCAGGGTCCTGGGATCGAGCCCCACATCGGGCTCCCTGCTCAGCGGGAAACCTGCTTCTCCCTCTCCCACTCCCCCTGCTTGTGTTCCCTCTCTCATTGTGTCTGTCTCTGTCAAATAAATAAATAAAATCTTTAAAAAAATTTTTTTTTGAAACGTGATCTTTTATATCTTGTATGTCAGGAGGCAGTCTCGCAAAGAAATTTGGGTAGTAAGAAAAAAATTGAGATTAGATTGAATTAAAACCGTAGATCATTTATGGCATAGATTGTGATGATGGTTTCACAGATATATGTTTATCTCCATACACGTCAAGTTGTATACATTAAATATCTACAGCTTTTGGTATTTCAGTCATACCTCAGTAAAGCAGTTTTTAAAGACATCCCTAGAACATTTTAGTACTGAGTTAATTAAGCACATTTTTTTATTGTATGAGTAATACATTTCACTGTAGCTCAGTTACAAATATGTTTTTATAAGTTGTATATTACATATTATGTTTATTATAAAGTCAAAAATTTGTTAATGTTTGATTTTTTTTTTTAAAGATTTTATTTATTTGAGAGAGAGAGAATGAGAGAGAGAGAGCACGAGAAGGAAGAGGGTCAGGGGGAGAAGCAGACTCCCTGCTGAGCAGGGAGCCCAATGCGGGACTCGATCCCGGGACCCCAGGATCATGACCTGAGCCGAAGGCAGTCGCTTAACCGACTGAGCCACCCAGGCGCCCTGTTAATGTTTGATTTACACTTATTCTACTTATGTGTATACTTTTTATTATAAATATGAGATTTGTAATAAAGTTATCACTGCACATGGTTTGCCACCAGCTTTTTCCTCAGAGCAGTGCATCATAACTTTCTGTATCCATGAATAGACCTGAATCATAATGTTTCATGGCGGGGTGTTGTGGTACTGTGATGAAGTATTATGGTTTACTCAATCAATCTCCTTGTTTGAACATTTAGGATATTTTCAGGTTTGCACTTAGTGCGGTGATCATCTTTGCATAGTTCTTTCTTAGGATGAATTTCTAGAAGTGAAATTACTGGATCAAAGAATTCACATTTTTGAGGCTTCAAATTGAAATCACCAAATAGCGGTCCAGATAGGTTGTAGCAATTTACATTTCTCCCAGTGTCAGACAAGTGTGCTCTTTTCTCCCATCATGGATAGTAGACAAGTTTTCCCACATCATTGCCAATCTGGCAAATCTGTAAGTGGCATCTCCCTGTTTTAATTGGCATTAATTCTTCATGAAGCTGACCCTGTTTCATGTTCACTGGCTATTGTAGATTTTGGTCTCACAAATGAGCAGCTCATGGTCTTGATTACAGATACTTCAGAAACTTTTTCTCATTCAGTCATCAATCTTTTCAGCAGTTTCTTGTGTTTCCTTTCCAGGAGCGGCTAAAGCTGGTGACTGTTTTGGGTGCTGGCCTTCTCTGTGGAACTGCACTGGCGGTCATCGTGCCCGAAGGAGTACACGCACTTTATGAAGATATTCTTGAGGGTGAGAGAGAAAGAAGAGGGTCTGCTTTGAGATATGTTGTTGACATGGAGGGTTGAAAGGAGAAGCCTAGTGGGGTTTTTTTCCTGAACATACTTCATATCTGCCATGGAATTCTACCCTAGGAAGAGTTCTTAAAATGTATCTTCTGACATCTTTGACATTGAACACATCCTTAGCAGTTTGTGAATTGAATCCCCAATTCACAATACCACTTAAGATTTATTTGCAATAATGCATGAATTCCAGTCTAAGTATGACAGTCCTTTTTTTTTTTTT